GAGTAGTAAACATCGGTTGAGTTGAAGATGAAAATGGGATCGATCACTGCCTTTGTGTGTAGAGGAGGGTCTCCACCGAAGCGAACACCGTCCCAAGAACCGCTTCGATAGGTCACTGTTGATCCTTGGTGAAGGACTATTTGTGGGAGGCCACGACGGTCTAGTTTGTACGTATAGTCGCCAGAAGATGGATCTTGCAAGGTTTTCCACGATGTTAAGAACCATTCTTGATTGGTTCTCAAGTTCCATCCGAACTTCATACCAGCTACTAATGTATCGCATGGGTAATCAAAACTTTGCCACAGATAATCGCCACCACCATTTTTCACCACAAGGTTGCCAGAGTCTAGCAGCTGCAAGATTGGCTTGTTTGGTGGTGTTGGTGGTGATGAATTTGAGGAAGACCAAACGGTGGTTGTTTGGTTGGTGGTGGTGGTAGTGGTGATGATGATGTTGCCGGTGGTGGTGATTGTGAGGAGGCCTGATGAATCTGATATTGGGTTGTTTTTGTTTGCCACCCAAATGGGTGTTTGTATTGGGACATTCTTAAACCATATTCCGATATAGCGATTGTTGGAATATGGTGGATTGAAGAAGCCTAATTCGAACGCTTCGCCAGAGGAGACAAGTTTACCGTTGTCGGTGAGTGTTTCGTTTGGAGATAGGGTGTCGATTGCCATGGAGAGTTTGGTGAAGAGGGAGAGAAGAAGAGTGAAAATGCAGATGAAAGCGAGTGGAAAAACCATCATTTGATGATCTCAATTACACCAAACATGCAAACTTATTGTTTATTCATGATTTTATATAATGTTATTGGAATACGTTTGGCATGGATCATATGGTTCTAGTTCTCGGAAAGTTATTAGGTACTCCTAGAACACCGTCACTAGAGTTCCAAATATTATGATTGATGGAAAATGTAAAACTTATGATTTTGTATTAGATGATTGAAAAATATGAAGGGATATGATAAATGATAATTAGTGAAAGAATATAAACACGTGATATTCTGAGAATACCTAATAATTTTTCCTAATTCTCTGTATGATAATCGTTATTAACTATATGATGTCAATATCAAATTTAGTATATGTATATCTAAAACTCGAATACACTTTGAAAAATTGCAATTAGACTTTGAATTTGAACTTTCAAAGATTGACCGAAAATAATGTTAGTAATATATATAGAATGAGAAAAGTTAGGGATCATGAAATTTTTTTCATGAAAATGATCATGAAAGATTTATGATCTTTAGATTACCTTGATTAGTGTGTGGTGGTTTATTCTAAGTGTAATCTAAGGGTCACAAAACTGTCATGATTATTTTCATGAAAGATTTTTCATGATACCTACCATTGCTGAGATAGAACTCCTAGAAGAGTAATGCTATACAAACTAACAATTATTACAAATTTTTCTTGAGTATTGATATGATATCATTTCATTGTAGTAAGACCTATTGTAGTTTCTAAAGTTTCATTATTTCATTATAAAAAATAAAAATAGAGAATTGTAAATTGTAAATTGCAATTTTTTGGATTTTTTTTCTTTTTCTTTTACCATGTGAGAGTGGAGAAGTTATTTGGTAGTTTTAAGCCATGGTCAGGTAGTGCTCAAAGCGTGTTGTGATTGGTGAAGAGGTGAAATCCACATTTTTGTTTTGGGAATGGGGAAAAACAACAAGAAGAATTGGCATTTGATGATTAATGAATGACAAAGACACGTACTGTCCCTAAATCATCTAATAATTTTTCGGAAGAGTGACCATTCATCTTACTTCCCCATCCGTATAATTGGATGTGTAAATGCTTTTGACTGTTTGAGAAGAGTTGATCTATATGGATGGGAAAGTATGCATAACCAAAGTTGAAAGCCAAATCACAAAAACTACTTCAACGAGAATAAATTTAGACCATAAAAATCAATAATATAGGGAAAGGAAAATGATTGGACATCCACCAGTCACTCGAGTGTAAAAATTCCAAGCAAATGTGACACCATTTTGGATTTTTCTCTTTCCCACACAAACGTGATAGAAATGGACCGGGCTTCTTCTAAGTTCATAATCTAAATTAGAAGGCCTTCTTTGAGTTCATAGAGTTTATTATGGGATTTTATTTAATGATCTAAATCATTTATTTTATGAGTTTCTTTAAAATAAAAAATTAGGTCAATCTAATAGTTGTAACTTATTCAATATATCACATTTGTTATAAAAAAAAAGAATGGTCTATTTTTTTAAACACATTTTTCTTTTATTTTTTTATACAAATGTGATAAATTGAAGGGTAAACTACCAATAGATCCTAATAGTTGAACTTAATTCCCATCAAATCCTATTAAAAATAAGTTTTAATAAAATTATCACTAAAAATAACTTTTTGTGACAATTTTTTTATATATGTTGCTAAAAATTGATAATTAGTGACTTTTATCATGATTTTTATAAAATGTCACTGAAATTTACAATTAGTGACATTTTTCTGTAACAAATTTTTCAAACTATCGTTGAAAGTTGAAAATTAGCGACTTTTTTGTGACGATTTTTAAAACAGTTGCTAAAACTTATAATTAGTGACATTTTTTTGACAAAATTTTCAAACTATTACTGAAAATTAACAATTAGTGACATTTTTTTATAGTGTTTGATGAAAAACATTATTAATTATCACATGATCTATTGAATAATAAGTCCACCTATTAAGCTCTACACATAAATTCTCCTAAATTGAATAGATTGTGATTATTAATCGACCTAATTTTTTCTATATATATAATATATACGAAGACCCTTATAAAATTATTCAGATTAGCAAAATAAGACTTACAATAAATCTCACTAATAAGCTCCGCAGACCAGGTCCTCCAAAACTGAATAGATTGTGATTATTAATCAACCTAATTTTTTCTATATATATAATATATACGAAGACTCTTATAAAATTATTCAGATTAGCAAAATAAGACTTACAATAAATCTCACTAATAAGCTCCGCAGACCAGGTCCTCCAAAACTGAATAGATTGTGATTATTAATCAACCTAATTTTTTCTATATATATAATATATACGAAGACTCTTATAAAATTATTCAGATTAGCAAAATAAGACTTACAATAAATCTCACTAATAAGCTCCGCAGACCAGGTCCTCCAAAACTGAATAGATTGTGATTATTAATCAACCTAATTTTTTCTATATATATAATATATACGAAGACTCTTATAAAATTATTCAGATTAGCAAAATAAGACTTACAATAAATCTCACTAATAAGCTCCGCAGACCAGGTCCTCCAAAACTGAATAGATTGTGATTATTAATCAACCTAATTTTTTCTATATATATAATATATACGAAGACTCTTATAAAATTATTCAGATTAGCAAAATAAGACTTACAATAAATCTCACTAATAAGCTCCGCAGACCAGGTCCTCCAAAACTGAATAGATTGTGATTATTAATCAACCTAATTTTTTCTATATATATAATATATACGAAGACTCTTATAAAATTATTCAGATTAGCAAAATAAGACTTACAATAAATCTCACTAATAAGCTCCGCAGACCAGGTCCTCCAAAACTGAATAGATTGTGATTATTAATCAACCTAATTTTTTCTATATATATAATATATACGAAGACTCTTATAAAATTATTCAGATTAGCAAAATAAGACTTACAATAAATCTCACTAATAAGCTCCGCAGACCAGGTCCTCCAAAACTGAATAGATTGTGATTATTAATCAACCTAATTTTTTCTATATATATAATATATACGAAGACTCTTATAAAATTATTCAGATTAGCAAAATAAGACTTACAATAAATCTCACTAGTAAGCTCCGCAGACCAGGTCAGTGGAGGGCGTTAATTTGTACTAATAAGTTCTAATTACAAGAATGTCACAATGTCATAATTAGTCAACTCATATAAATTTTTTTGATGTGGGCATGCTATCTATCTGTTGGATATGAATCTATACTATATATTAAGTAAAATGAGGTTTTCAACCCCAAGTCTTGTGAGAGCTCTAATCTCCCAATCTAAATTTCTTGTTTTTTTTATTTTAAAAAAAAAATCTTAACAGTTATTAACTTCTCCCAACTCCCAAGTCTTATCATCATAATAACACTTTAATGCATTAAGAATAAGCATAAAAAAAATTCTTTGAAATCCAACACATATGAATTCCTTAAAAAGTCTCAACACATATGATTATTATCCCTCATAATAACACTTTAATACATTAAAAACAAGCTTAAAAAAATTTCTTGAAAAGTCCAACACATATGATTATTATCAAAATATTAAACTTTAATATAATATAAAAAAGAAAAAAAAAAGAAGACATTTAAAAAAAAAAAAAGACATGGCCATATCAGATCAGCTTAAGAATCACACTAGTGATGATTGGTTCGTACATACTTGGAAATTGCCACTCTCTATCTTTAAAAGTGTACCCGATTAATGTGGTTTCATATTGTTTCTCCTATTTGTTGTTTGTATCTGTGTGCAGCAAATTGGCTAAGGAGAGTGAACTTATTGAGTACGATTGTTCCATATAATCTGCTAATGTTTTATATGCAGCTCTTACAGATGTTTGGCTGGTCTAATAGTATGGATGGTGGGTTGAGCAATTGTGAGCATTTATATTTAGGGATTTTAGTGAGTGTGGTGCGATGTGGGTTGAGTGGCTTGAGCTCCCAAATATATACTTACATTGTTTGTATGCAGGTTACATTGCTGGTATATTTTGTAAGGGGAATGTCTGCTGTGAGCCGAGTGATGTGAGCCCTATCTTGATTGAGAGTGTCTTATGTTTTAATGACTACTATATATTTGAGATATGTAATAATCCCAACATTGTTGACACATCACTAGTGCAAAGATGTCTATTTTTTTATATGATATTGACTCATGAAATAATAAATAAAAATGACAAAAGTAACATTTTTTTTTTTTTAAGAAATGCATATAACAGCATCATTATATTAACCAAAAACATAAATCAAAATGGGTAAAATGATGATTAATATGGCAAACACTTACCAAGATCAGAAGCAGCCATCCGAATATACAAATCTTGTCCATGTTCACTAAACTCTTTCATATCAAGCAACTCTCCAAACCATACCACGCAACCACTCACACTAGTTAGTGAAAAAGCAACACAAGTACAATTTCTCAAACAAGCCTCTTTGCAGTCGACCAGACTCATCTTGGTCATATCCACTAAGAAATACGATGATTCTGGCAATTTCAGCCCTGGCAATTTTCTGAATCCCTGAGGGGCACTGCAATTCATTGGTGTCCTCCGCACGCACCCACCTGACCAATCACCCCTGTCCCACTCCTGTTGCAATCTGGGTATGAACCCATTTGGGCAGTAACAAGCAGCTAAAACATCGAAGCGACATATGCCGTAAGGGCCACACTTTGCATAGTCATCACAAGCATCGCGTTGCATTGTCATTAAATTGAACCATTCGCCAAGCCTTTCATTCCATGTGAGGAGCTGAAGCGAGCCTGTCTGGTTCACTACTATCCTTGAAATAGCAGTATCATCCGTGTTCTTGAAGGAGTAGTAAACATTGGTTGAGTTGAAGATGAAGATGGGATCGATCACTGCCTTTGCGTGTAGAGGAGGGTCTCCACCGAAGCGAACACCGTCCCAAGAACCGCTTCGATAGGTCACTGTTGATCCTTGGTGAAGGACTATTTGTGGGAGGCCACGACGGTCTAGTTTGTACGTATAGTCGCCAGAAGATGGATCTTGCAAGGTTTTCCACGATGTTAAGAACCATTCTTGATTGGTTCTCAAGTTCCATCCAAGCTTCATACCAGGTACTAATGTATCGCATGGGTAACCAAAACTTTACCACAGATAATCACCGCTACCATTTTTCACCACAAGGTTGCCAGAGTCTAGCAGCTGCAAGATTGGGTTGTTTGGTGGTGTTGGTGGTGATGAATTTGAGGAAGACCAAACGGTGGTTGTTTGGTTGGTGGTGGTGGTAGTGGTGATGATGATGTTGCCGGTGGTGGTGATTGTGAGGAGGCCTGATGAATCTGATATTGGGTTGTTTTTGTTTGCCACCCAAATGGGTGTTTGTATTGGGACATTCTTAAACCATATTCCGATATAGCGATTGTTGGAATATGGTGGATTGAAGAAGCCTAATTCGAACGCTTCGCCAGAGGAGACAAGTTTACCGTTGTCGGTGAGTGTTTCGTTTGGAGATAGGGTGTCGATTGCCATGGAGAGTTTGGTGAAGAGGGAGAGAAGAAGAGTGAAAATGCAGATGAAAGCGAGTGGAAAAACCATCATTTGATGATCTCAATTACACCAAACATGCAAACTTATTGTTTATTCATGATTTTATATAATGTTATTGGAATACGTTTGGCATGGACCATATGGTTCTAGTTCTCGGAAAGTTATTAGGTACTCCTAGAACACCGTCACTAGAGTTTCAAATATTATGATTGATGGAAAATGTAAAATTTATGATTTTGTATTAGATGATTGAGAAATATGAAGGGATATGATAAATAATAATTAGTGAAAGAATATAAACACGTGATACTCTGAGAATACCTAATAATTTTTTCTAATTCTTTGTATAATAATCGTTATTAACTATATGGTTACGATATCAAATTTAGTATATGTATATTAAAACTCCAATACACTTTGCAATTTTTTGTATTTTTTTTCTTTTGTCTTTTACCATGTGAGAGTGGAGAAGTTATTTGGTAGTTTTAAGCCATGGTCAGGTAGTGCTCAAAGCGTGTTGTGATTGGTGGAGAGGTGAAATCCACATTTTTGTTTTGGGAATGGGGAAAAACAACAAGAAGAATTGGCATTTGATAATTAATGAATGACAAAGACACGTACTGTCCCTAAATCATCTAATAATTTTTCGGAAGAGTGACCATTCATCTTACTTCCCCATCCGTATAATTGGATGTGTAAATGCTTTTGACTGTTTGAGAAGAGTTGATCTATATGGATGGGAAAGTATGCATAACCAAAGTTGAAAGCCAAATCACAAAAACTACTTCAACGAGAATAAATTTAGAGCATAAAAATCAACAATATAGGGAAAGGAAAATGATTGGACATCCACCAGTCACTCGAGTGTAAAAATTCCAAGCAAATGTGACACCATTTTGGATTTTTCTCTTTCCCACACAAACGTGATAGAAATGGACCGGGCTTCTTCTAAGTTCTTAATCTAAATTAGAAGGCGTTCTTTGAGTTCATAGAGTTTATTATGGGATTTTATTTTATGAGTTTCTTTAAATATATTATGCAAATAAAAAATTAGGTCAATCTAATAGTTGTAACTTATTCAATCTATCACATTTGTTATAAAAAAAAAATGAATGGTCTATTTTTTGAAACACATTTTTCTTTTATTTTTTGATACAAATGTGATAAATTGAAGGGTAAACTACCAATAGATCCTAATAGTTGAACTTAATTCCCATCAAATCCTATTAAAAATAAGTTTTAATAAAATTATCACTAAAAATAACTTTTTGTGACAATTTTTTTATATATGTTGCTAAAAATTGATAATTAGTGACTTTTATCATGATTTTTATAAAATGTCACTGAAATTTACAATTAGTGACATTTTTCTGTAACAAATTTTTCAAACTATCGTTGAAAGTTGAAAATTAGCGACTTTTTTGTGACGATTTTTAAAACAGTTGCTAAAACTTATAATTAGTGACATTTTTTTGACAAAATTTTCAAACTATTACTGAAAATTAACAATTAGTGACATTTTTTTATAGTGTTTGATGAAAAACATTATTAATTATCACATGATCTATTGAATAATAAGTCCACCTATTAAGCTCTACACATAAATTCTCCTAAATTGAATAGATTGTGATTATTAATCGACCTAATTTTTTGTATATATATAATATATACGAAGACCCTTATAAAATTATTCAGATTAGCAAAATAAGACTTAGAATAAATCTCACTAATAAGCTCCGCAGACCAGGTCAGTGGAGGGCGTTAATTTGTACTAATAAGTTCTAATTACAAGAAAGTCACGTTGTCATAATTAGTCAACTTGTGTGCTCTATTTCTATTGGAGTTGGTTCCTCCAGTCGACTAGAAGGCATTGACCTGGTCTGTGGAGGGCGTTAATTTGTACTAATAAGTTCTAATTACAAGAATGTCACAATGTCATAATTAGTCAACTCATATAAATTTTTTTGATGTGGGCATGCTATCTATCTGTTGGATATGAATCTATACTATATATTAAGTAAAATGAGGTTTTCAACCCCAAGTCTTGTGAGAGCTCTAATCTCCCAATCTAAATTTCTTGTTTTTTTTATTTTAAAAAAAAAATCTTAACAGTTATTAACTTCTCCCAACTCCCAAGTCTTATCATCATAATAACACTTTAATGCATTAAGAATAAGCATAAAAAAAATTCTTTGAAATCCAACACATATGAATTCCTTAAAAAGTCTCAACACATATGATTATTATCCCTCATAATAACACTTTAATACATTAAAAACAAGCTTAAAAAAATTTCTTGAAAAGTCCAACACATATGATTATTATCAAAATATTAAACTTTAATATAATATAAAAAAGAAAAAAAAAAGAAGACATTTAAAAAAAAATCACAATTCACATATATAGATAATTGTAAACATAATCCGTGTATAGCACGGGTGATATGCTAGTAAATATATTAAGGAAAAAAAGGTTTCTAACTACTAAGGCTTGTGGAAGCTCCAATATCCCAATCTAAATTTCTAAATTTTTTGATTTAAAAAAAAAAAAACCTTAGCATTTATTAACTTCAAACTACCAAAACCAAAAACAGAATCACACAAAAAGAAATTCTTTATTGATAGGACTTAACAGATCAACAAAAAAAAACTTTGAACTAATTGAAGTATTTGTTTGTGAGATGGGATTTATTGGTAAATATTTATATTTTAATCAATTTTTTATATTCTTTTGATGTACTTAATCAAGATGAATTTAAAAAATAAAATAAATGGATTAAAGTATTAAAATAATAATAAAAAATGATGAAAATTTCAACACAAATGTGGTCATTTTTGTTCGAGTTTTTATTATTTTTAATAAAAAATTCATATTTTAGTTATACTTTTTTACTTTTTTACTTTTTAGATGTTTCTAGTTTTTATGTATGTATAAAATATAAAAATTGATTAAAATATTAAAAAAAATTAATAAAAATAAACAAAAATCCGTTTAAAATTAATTTCTGAAAATTATAAACCATTCAAAATCAAAGAAATAACTTGTTACGGTTGGTGATGAACTAATGGATCAAAAACTTTATCCATTTATTTTTCAAAATCATTTTGCTTTTAAATTTTGGTTCATCTAAACTGATTGAGTAATGTTATATAAATAAAAAAAAAATTGAGTAATCAGGTGAAAAATCCAATTCTGTATTTTCTATGCTCGAAAGTCCCCTCGTTATTTTAGCATGTCCACAAGGACAAGCCTTTGTGAAATGACAAAAATACCATGTATATATACATGGCTCTCAAATCAAAACCCTAACCAAACTATTTTCTCTCTCATTTCTCCCTCTCTCTCCGCAAATCTCACACACACACACACACACACACACACACACACACACTCTCTCTCTCTCTCTCTCTCTCTCTCTCTCTCTCTCTCTTTTCGTCTTACCGTTGCCACTCTCCACCTCACCTCGCCTCGCCTTCGCCGCCTCGCCATGTTGTCGCCACCACCAACCCCACCACCGTCTTCACCGCCCTCTCCTACTTCCTTTTGCAAATCCTTGTTTTTATTTTCCTAAGATAAACCCCTAACTCTAACCCTCACTCTAATCTTCTCTTCTGCAAATCCTTACTCTGATCGATGTCTCTCTTATGGTTCACTACCGTCCTCACCTCTACTCCGGCGCCGCATGCGCAGTCTAGCTATCGTCCCCATCTTGTCTCACATCTCCACCAACACATCATCTACCACTCAGATCTAGATCGAGGGTCGGAGTCAATCCTTAACAAGGTTCCATCGACATGCCACAACGACAAGGCGGATCTGAAGCTGTCCGATTAGCAGCACAGAACTTTCTCTTTCTCTTTCTCTCTCTCTATCTCTCTCCCTCATTCTCACTCTCTGATATTCAAGTATTTAGCTTTGAATGTATGTATATATGTATGTATATTTATACATGTATATGTATATGTCTATATATATGTATATATATATATACAAATCTTAATCTTTTGGACTGAGGTTCATAAATGGTAAACACTACACAGTTTATGTTCATGGTGTTTTCTACTAAAATGCGCTTCACATTTACAGTTTGCTGTTGTTGATTAAGGTTTTGTTGTTGTTGTTGTTGTTGTTGTTGTTAATGATGATGATGATGAATCTATGTTGTAATAATGATAAATCTTTGTTTATGGAATGATTTTAACAAATAGTAAGTGATGAAGAAGAAATGGATTGCAAGAAAAGATTTATTTTAAACAGATCTATTAATGTTGATTTTCAACAGATAAGATAACATATTTGTTCAAATTGGATGGAAAATCGAAAAGATAGATAGAAAATTGGATAGATAGACAAAAATTAGATGGATAGAATTTTATTTGGACAAATATTTAAACATATAAGCAAAATTTGAATTAAAAAGTTTTTAAAAAATTAAACAGATAGGTAAAAAATTTGAACAGATAGAGAAAAAATTGAATAGATATGGTAAAAAATTTGAACAAATAGTTAACAAAAAGTTAAACAGATAAAAGAAAAAAGTCAATTGGTAAAATTAGAAACAAAATGTCCTTCAAGACTTCTCACCAAACTATTTCACAAAACATAGACCTCTCACCAATAAGAAATATTCATTGGACCTAATGCCTTAGACACTCTCTAAATTATATTTATCACCAATTTTCTCTATAATTTAATGAGAACTATTTATTTTAAAACAAAATGTTCATAACGATGATGTTTCTTTATTAAAATAACATTATCATATCATTCATGTAGTGTGATTTTTGTATAAATTTGTTGTATATATAGAAAGGGCAAATTACCAACAAGTCTTCTTTGAAAGAGGTGTGGCCTATATAGTCCTACAACTTTTTGTTTATACCCAAAAGTCCTGTAGCGTTTTTCTTCTTCTCTGCCTTCGTTCTTCTCTCTTTCTTTTCTTGATTTCTGGCGACCACGTTTTGCTTATTCTCTTTCTCTTTCTAATATATAATCACTAGTAACTAACGACCACAATCAATTGAGGTTTATCGATAACCACCAACCACCAACTATTTACTCCACCCTCACCGACAATAAATGAGGTGAGTTTTCGGCAAAGAAGATAAGTAAATCTACATTAGATCCAACTATTTCTAAACCAAAAATAGTTGTTGGAATACAATCATCTCTCTATATCTATTTCTCTCCTTCGATCTCTCAATTTTTTTTTTATCTTTTCTCTGCTACACACTTCTCTTTTCCTGTT